CACACTGTCAGCACAGAGCCGGATGTGGGGCTCAAACTCACAAATTGTGAGATCATGACTTGAGCCAAAACCAAGTCGTACACTTAACTGAGCCACCCAGGTGCCCCAGATATTTATTATTTTGAAATAATTAAATCCATTACATGTTAATATAAGTCACATTTTAACAAAAAATATTGCTGAAACCAAAGAAACTGAAACTGAAAACACAAAGACAGGCATTGGGTCTCCTAAAGGTCTAACATCCAGTTTAACGGACAGCCAGCTAGGTTCTCTTAAGTGCTTCTGCATTCAGTCTATTGCAGTGCGTTGTTTTGGTTGAAGTAGTTGAAGAAAATCTGGCTTCACACACAGGGCATTAGAAAGAGGACAAGTATCTTAATAGCCCTTTAGGTGATTGTGAATCTTCTTCTTTGATACTAGATCAGAACTCAACAGGCAGTGGTTTCCTAAAAATTAGCTGCACTGTAGGATGTGAACCCTTCTCAGTGAACTTTCTGTAGTCTGCTTCATTAACCTCCACGGGTCTGCCTTGCACTCTCAGTGGCTCTTTTAGCCACACTGGTATCGCATCCTCTGGCACTGGTGACATGGAAAATGTCGGTTCACTGAGATCTCCAGTGATGCATTTTGTCTTATAATATCCAAAAAATTATATTTGTTAATGACATTACCTATCTCATCGGACAAGCCATTAAGTATTGGAAAGCTGTCTGCTCCCAGTGGGGATGTATACATTTTCTAAGATGCTAGTTTTTACTTGAGATCTTGAATTGCTTCATTTTTTTAGGAACCGTCTGCCAGTTACTCAAATCTGACTAAGCACCGTCATTCTTTCAAGTAAAAATGGCATTCCGTGAAGAAAGCAACTAGATCAGCTTGTAACTCCCTCACTTAAGTGCTTTTCCTTGAGGTAACCATTGGACCTCAGTGAGCAGCAGAGGTGTTTATGGGACCTCTCATGTCATCACACAAAATGCAAAAAAATAATAATAATTAAATTTGTGCTCAAAGGTCAAGACTTAATAAGGCGAATCATTTTTACTGCTTCCCCAAGGCTATATGTATATATATATTTTTAAACTGTATTTATTTTGAGAGAGAGGGAGAGAACCAGCGGGGAAGGGGCAGAGAGAGAGGGGACAGAGAATCCGAGGCGGGCTCTGCCCTGACAGCACGGAGCCCGATGTGGGGCTTGAACTCAGGAACCCTGAGGTCATGACCTGAGCCGAAGTCAGAGGCTTAACCGACTAAGCCACCCAGGCACCCCAGCACCAACGATATTTTTAAGTGAAATTGGCTTTTTTGGTAACTGAGAGTGTCCCTACGGCCAAAACTCAGTGCAGCTGCCTTGATTTGTTCTAAAAGGCCAGCAGTTGCCCCCCATTGCTCCTGCCAGCGTGGAACAGTGAAAAAGGCAAGTGATGTCTTAGTACTAGGAAAGTAGTTTTGACCTTACAGACCTCCAGGGGTCCACAGATCAACTTTGAGAACCACTCTT